GAGAAGCTGTGGAATTGCCATCCCTGGCAATTTTTAAGAGCCAGCTGGACAGACTTGGCTGAGATGGTTTAGTCAGGGATGATCCTCCCCTGAGCAGAGGGCTGGAGTAGACAATCTTGCGAGGTTCCTTCCAGCCCTACTTTCCTATGATCCTATGTCAAGAAATGACAGACCATTGGAACATGCTTCCCAAAGTCACTGTGCCTCATTTCTAACTTGAACTGGAACCAAGGCACAAACATACTTACGTGAACAAGTAGTGCAAAACTGCACAGAATTTGACACCTGGAAGTCTAAAGAACACATGACTATTCTGATTACAAGAAAGTATTTCACCCCCACACTCCAAAGCTAGGGGTCGGTGGCTTCATCAGAGAATAAAAAGCTCACCTCAAGTCCATAGAAAAACTGTTTCATTCAACACTAATACGTGAAACTACGACACAGATAAGGCTACTAGGTAGGTACAGGCACCAGCATAGCAGCTTGTGGTTCAAGAGATTGAACATCTCTGTCACAAATGGGGCTTCTGAGGTTTAAACTGTTTGGATCCTCTGACATTCCTGTGGTTTGATGGCTGTTTCCCACTTTTGGTGTTTGTTATTTGCTTGTCTGAGAGTTTGCTTGTTTGAGAGCAGTGCCTAAAGGCTCTGTCCAAGAGAAGGACCTGGCCGTACTAGATGCTACGTGCAGACACACAGTAAGAGGTACCCTCCCACACAGGTTGCAACTTGAACAGAAGAGATGAAGGAAAAAAATGGGATTAAAAGTAAGAGTTTTATGACTTGGCTGCTGGGGAACCAAAGCCCAGAAAGACAAACCAACTCACCAGAAGCTGAAGCAGGTTATTTGTAGCAGAGCTGAATACCCATAGTCACTTGGCCAGCTGCCATTTCCTCCCCACCCCACAACTGCAGCACCCAGGACTGGCTTCAGAAGCCACAGGAGTGTTCTGCTCTGACGGCCCTGCGTTCCCAAGACCATACATCAAAGACTCCACTCTCTGCAGCTGCCTCTAACATGCAGGCAAATATACTCACTGGAAGGTGCAGAATTTGCAGAAGGTAGAGAACAGGGTCGCTTCCGTGCCTTGGCACTAGGCACCAACTCGAATGATGGCAATTCCCCAATATCAATGCCTTCGGCCATCTTGAGGACTTTCTCCATGACCTGTGCGCCATACCTGCGTTGAATCCAGCACAGACAGCGTTAGCACCTGTCACACCAAGGTTCTGTGCTGCCAGCTTTTTAAAAGCACCTGCATGGCAAGCCTCAAGCCTGCTGAATGCCACACTCCTCTCAGCCCAGGCTTTGGGATTTACACCCATGGAGATACTGAGGCCTTTGCATCCCACACTAGGAGAAGAAGGCCTTTAAAAGAAAGATAGATGTCAGATAAGGTGTTGTTTAGACTAAGGAAGAGCTAGAGCTGAAAAGCCAGGGCTGAAAAGCCAGCTGAGATATTACAAGCAAACCCTGGTGAAAGTATGGCCTGGTTGGCTGTCCAGCACAGGACTCACAGTGACTTTGTTGGTGCCAAGGAGCAATGCTACAAGCTGGCCCTGCTCCTGTAACTGGTCCCATGCGCACACACCTCTGAGGAACTTCTCTGAGGGATGGCAGCTGCCTGCAGAGCCCTGCTTTCAGGACTGTGGCCTTGCACAAAAAAACTGACCATGGGAGTCAACAAGCCACCTACTTCCAAACAAATGCCAAGTGTGTAAGCAGCCAATAGTCTCCCTGTAATTCCTCACCAGGGATCCTGTTTTTCTCCATTAAAAAAATAATTTAAAAAATCATAAAATCTGATAAAAATGCAAATTCTCCAATTTAAAAACCCCCAAATCTGCAATTAAAATAAAATGCCACATATATATATATATAT